TGCATATTCTCTTAATATGGAAATATTGATTTAGTTTCTTGCAAACTAAATAGGTGACTGACAAACTCAGATTCTCAATCAAACAGTCATTCAGATAGATAGGCAGATATTACGTAATGCGGAAAACTAAGGCAGAAAGTAAATCAACAGATATGTTTGTTTACCCAGTTCGATACAGTGTGTATCTACATCTGGGGGACGATCACCGATGCGTCCAATCCACTAACTCAGAATCCAATGTACAAAGGTAGAGAAGAACAATCTCACTCAAGTGCCCCACACAAGGTCAGTACCCAGTCTACAAAGGTTTAGTGGATTGTTGAAGTCGGAGAGCCACGCATTCAGAAGTGCAATGAAATCCCTTCAATTGGAGAACTAACTCTGATGCAGTCCGCTTCAATGACGCAGTCCCACGTTGTTCCCACAACTGAGTGATCTTCGCGTCCAATCGGTTAAGCAGTGTTGATATTTCTCAAGTTCTTCTTCATAATCACCATGAACTTATTATTTTGAAAAGAGGCATGACAACTAGAGATGTATATTCTGTTTAGTATAGAGTGTTTTGGCTTCAATCAATGCAACCATAACTTCTGAACGAATAAGTATATTTATACTTCTTGATTTGGACACTCTCCAAATATATCTCTGGTTGTAGACGGTAAGACTTTTTATGAAGAAAGAAATCTTAAGATTCGGTCCATACCTCACAAGATGATTCGCTGATAATCTTTCCAAAACCATCATCTCATAACTGCGTACTATCTTTTAGAAACTTTCCTTTATCAGTCCTTCGGTGGCTTGATCTAGAGGTGCGTCTGTTGACTTCACTGATCAATCAATCTTCTTCAAAGATGGACAGACACCAAGCTAAACCCTATCTTAAATTCTTAATTTGCATTAATAATATTGCCAATTATATGTTGGGGTTTTTCTTAAAGAAATAAAACACTAACAACTTTGATATTTAATTAAAAAAAATAGTGCACAAAAAAGATAATAGACACTGTAGTGAATATAATCAGTTGATGAATTTGAATGTAAAGAATTTTTACATTGGTGAAATATAAAGAGAATATAACTAATAAAATTCTTTCTCTTAATTAATTTATTGATAATGAATAATTATTTTTTAATAAAGACATTGTAGGGAAAATGTAGCGAATATAATCAATTGATGAATTTGAATGTAAAGAATTTTTATATTGGAGAAAAATAAAGACAATATAACTAATGAAATTATTTCTCTTATTTAATTTATTGATAATGAATATTTTTTTTTTAATCAAGATTTTGTAGACACATAATTCTAAGTTAAAGAAATGCATATGTATTCTTTTTTGTTTATCTACTAAATTATTATTTAATTTAATAAGAATAAAATAGAGTACTAATTATGCCAACTTTGATTGGGATTTGGTTCGAACCTAAGACCTTTCTTATTGAAATCAATGAGTAAGTTAACGGTGAAGTAACCGAAATTAACGGAAAAGATAATATTTAACGGAAAAGTTAACGGATAATCATATTCATTAAGGATAAATTTGGAAATCATAAGATAATTAAAATTTGATCAATCTGAGCCATTCATTTGATTAAAAAATTTGACCGTCATTTTTTCTACCATTATAGGCCTAACTCTCTTGGGCTCTTAGAGTAGATAGATAGTAGATAATTAAAATACCATAATTAAAATTTATTATTAATATTCCCTTGACCAATCAAAATTATTAATTTTACCAATATGTTTTGGGGGAAAATTTGGCTAGGAGGATTTTACTTTTAATTATATATAGATAAATAGATTAAACATAATTACATAATTACAATACCATATAAGGAATACACGTTAATTCAAAAATGGTAAACATTAATACCTAATTCATTAATTAGTCTATATTCATAATATTCTGTGTAATATAATATTAATTAATTTTTTGTTATATATATATTACAAAATACCATATAAGGAATACACGTTAATTTAAAAAAGGTAAACTTTAATACCTAATTCATTAATTACTCTATATTCATAATATTTCATGTAATGTTAATTAAATTTTGGTTATATATATATATATATATATATATATATATATATATATATATATATATATATATTACAAAATATCATATAAGGAATACATGTTAATTCAAAAAAGGTAAGCTTTAATACCTAATTCATTAAGGGAAATTCTATTTGCACCACCCAATTTGCTATTTACACCACCACTTTAATAGGTGTAATAGCTTTATAGGTGGTGCAAATAGAAATGTGCTATTTGCACCACCTTCATTAAATGTAGTCAAACATTAATATATCTTATTCATTTTTTTAACAATCAAACTATTAATTAGTCATGGAACAAAGAGATTATTATTTAGTCAATTGAAAAATTATATCTAATTTAAATGAGTCCTAATTACCTAGCAAGCAAGAACAAATTGAATTAAAATACAAATATCAACACCCATAGAAATAAATAACAATTCAATTCTACGTACCTTTTTATACTGTAAATACAATAAATTGATTAATTCACAACTATATGCACAACAAATTAAATTAATTTACAACTATATTCACTAAATTGATTAATACTATAATGTTCTCTCTTGACATAGAACAAAGAGATTGTTATTTAGTCAATTGAGAAATTATATCTAATTTAAATGAGTCCTAATTACCTAGCAAGCAAGAACAAACTCGCTTAAAATACAAATAGCAACACCCATAGAAATAAATAACAATTCATTAACAATTCAAATAACAACTTAAAATACATCATAATGTCCTTGACTTTGATTTTGATCATTGTACCTAAGTAGCTGGCTTTGATTATGATTATTGTAACTAAAAAAAAAATCTTCTATCCAACCATCCATAGCTTATAGATTGTGTGATACATATACATAACACACACCCCCACATATATAGAGTCATATGAGTCCAATTTGTATTTTCTGCCGCCCAAATTACTAGTAGTTTCATCTTAGAAATATCAATATTGACTAAAAAATATGTATTGAAATTATAAACTTAAAAAAAATATGTATTGAAATTAGAAACTTTAAAAAATATGTATTGAAATTACAAACTTAAAATAATATGTATTGAAATTAGAAACTTTAAAAAAATATATATGTATTGTGAAATTAAAAACTTCAAAAAAAAAAATATGTATTGAAATTTTTTTGAAAGTCAACCAATGGGTTGTATTTATAGATAAATTAAAATACAGTCAGGTGGGACATCGTCCCAGTACATTGCCGAAGGAAGCGTAAAGGCTGAAGTAGCTAAACTATGAGCTAGTAAGTTTTGTAATCTATGAATAAAAACAACTAAGCAGGAAGTAAAAGCATACATATAATTTCTGCAACTATCAATAGCATAGCCAATGTATGAATGAGATGGGTTGTCCGGTGTAGATAGATAATATTGTAACGTTTGACAATTCGTATGAAGCTGTATAGATTGTTCACCTCGTGCCTTTAGCCAAGAGAGGGCTTCTTTACACGCGAATGCTTCGGCCATAAGTGGGGAAAAACAACTCAGGATAGGCGCGCTGAAGGCCGAAACAAAACGACCGCTGGCATCGTTGAGGACTGCCCCGACCGTAGCCGAGTTTGTTCCTTGGTGATACCCGGCGTCCACAAAGCATTTCCTTGGTCTTGCTATTGCGATAAGGGGATTCGGCTGCGGCGGTGGTGGATTCAACGGTTGTCCAGCAGAGTGAGGCGCTGGAGTGTGACTCGCCGGCAGTGGCAGTTCGGCAGTTGAGGGTTCGTCCGGCAGTGGCGTTGCAGTAGCAGTTTGACCGTCCAGCAGTTGGGCGGTGGTTCGGCAGTGTATGCTCTGCCATATATGCATGGTGGCAGTGGCCGCCACAATTACATTCTTCGGTCGTGGTAGACAAGCATCCCACACAGCTCCATTCCGTGCTCTCCAAATATGATATAAAATTGCAGCTGCGTAAATAATTCCATTAGTGTCTAGAACATTTATGATTGCACCAAACCAATCATGGAAAATATTTATCATAATATTGGGGAGTAGAAGGTTGGATTGAGCCCATATGGAGCTTGCATAGCCACACAACACCAATGAGTGCATAGTGTCTTCATTCATGATTCTACACATGGCACACATCGAATCAACTTCCACTCTCTTTATAAGCAAATTATTGGTGGTGGGAATGATATCACTAATAGCTCTCCATAGAAAAGTTTTCCATTTGGGTGGGATTTTTAATTTCCATAGAGTGATCCACTTGTCAAATGCCCCATCATTATCATTCTCATAATTTCCAATTATGCATCTATAGCCATTCTTGACAGAGTAACAACCATTGGGATCCCCGTGTCAATACCATGTATCATCATAATCTGGGGAAATTGGTATCTTCAGGATTTTAGGTATATCAATTGGTTGAAAAATATCAGTGAGAATATGTTGATCCCATGAACCAGTGTCCTGGTCAATCAATCCCTCGACTTTGGCTCCAGCAAGCTGTGGTGGCATCTCAGTTTGAATCATTGGATCTTGTTCATCTTGAAGTCAAGGGTGCTCCCAGATTAAGGTAGATTTTCCGTTCCCAATACGCCGTCTTACACCACTGCATATTAAATCATTAGCTGCTATAATACTGCGCCAGCAATAGCTGGGATTATTTCCTAGGTATGCTTCAAAAAATGTATCCTTAGGATAGTATCTGTCCTTGTAAATACGAGACACCAACGAATCAGTGTTAGTAAGCAACCTCCATGCCTATTTGCTTAACATTGCCAAATTGAAAGCCCTCAAATTCTTGAAACCCAGGCCCCCATGTTTTTTCAGAATACATAATTTATCTCATGCTTTCCAATGAATTCCCCGGTTAGTTCCTGATCCCCACCAGTACCGATTCATGACCCTTTCAATGGTCGTGCATACAGATGTAGGTAGTAAAAAAGCACTCATTGAAAAGGTAGGCATAGCTTGAACTACACTTTTCAATAGAATTTCCTTATCAGCCTGAGATAATAATTTCTTGTTCCATGATCCAATCCTTTGTCTCATTTTATCCTCAATATAAGCAAATGCTGCCTTTTTATTTCTTCCCACAAAAGAGGGCAGTCCAAGATATTTCCCAAAATTGGGAGCTTGGGTTACTTCTAAGATATGTGCCACAGTATCTCTATCCTCATGACAAGTATTCTTACTTTAGCATATACTTGATTTAGGATAATTGACTTTCTGCCCAGACAAGGTCTCATATAGGGATAAACAATCTTTTATTTCAGTGGCTTCCTGCACATTTGCTTTGAAGAAAAGTAGGCTGTCATCAGCAAAAAATAAATGGGAGATAGGAGGAGCGCCTCTTGCTACTCTACATCCATGTATTAGTCCATTCATTTTGTGATTGCTGCAATAATAATGAAAGTCCTTCTGCGCAAATAATAAATAGGTAAGGGGATAAAGGGTCCCTCTGTCTTAGTCCACGGGTGGGTGTCACCGGAGTACTACGAGAGCCATTAATCAGGAAATTGTATGATACTGTAGTCACACACAACATAATTAATTCCACCCACCTGTCATCAAAACCCAGGGCCAGTAACATTTTATGAAGAAAGGACCATTCCATACGGTCCTAGGCTTTGGCCATATCAAGTTTGAGGGCACCCCAACCAACAACTCCACAATGTTTCCTATTCAAATAATGTCCCACTTCAGCCGCTATGAGTATATTATCTGTGATCAATCTGTTAGGTATAAAAGCACTCTGGGATTCAGATATAATGTTCTGCATCAATGGCTTCATTCTATGGGTAATCATCTTGGCCATTATCCTGTAAATTACATTACTCAAAGCTATAGGCCTAAGATCAGAGACCACTTCAGGGATATTTTTCTTGGGGATCAGCACCACATCCATATCATTTAAACCAGCATGGAAAGAGCGAGTATTTAGACAATTAATTATAAATTTCGAAATATCACTCCCCACTACATCCCAGAAATGTTGATAGAATCCAGGGTTCATGCCATCAGGGTCAGGCGCTTTATCAGGGAACATTGCAAATAGTGCATCTTTAACTTCATTCATCTCAAAGGGTCGAAGCAAAAAATTATTTTGGGTCTGGGTAACTCGTGGCATTACATTATCAAATAAAGCATTACCACTCACAGGATTACCAGACTTGAAAATTCCATCAAAATAATCTAAAATAATATTCTTCATATCCTCCCCTTCCATCCCCTCCCCATTATCATTCATAAGTTTAAAGATTGTATTCTTTTTTCTTACGATGAGAGACATACCTGTGGTAGAACTTTGTATTGGTATCTGAATCTTTAAGCCAATGTTGTTTGGCTCGTTGTCTCCAATAGGTATCCTCCTGGGTCTCCATGTGACTTAGAACTTCCTCCAAGCGCTTGAATTCAGCTAGGGAGGCTGGATCCGTGCGTCCTCTCAGATGTAATTGGTCCTTTCGTAGTTGTATAATTTTCTCACCAAACTTATGATAACGATCACTGCCCCAGCGGGCCAAGTGATCACCACAATGTGTTATGCACTTTTGGATCTCTTCTGATCTTCTTTCTCCCCATGATTTCTCTGCCACATCCCTACATCCCTCATCATGTAACCAGGCCATCTCGAAACGAAATCTCTTTCTTCCCACATTCCATCGACATAGACTATGGGTTTCTAGTAAGAGTGCAGAGTGATCAGATGTCCTTGTCAATAGATTAATTACTCTTGCTTCAGGCACAATACCACACAATACCACAACAAATAGAGTAAAATAGAGTAAAATACGAGTAAAATAGAGTAAAATAGAGTACTAAATTTAATAAGAGTAAAATAGAGTACTAATTATGCCAACTTTGATTGGGATAGGGTTCGAACCTAAGACCTTTTTTATTAGAATCAATGAGTAAGTTAACGATGAACTAATTGAAAAGATACTATTTAACGGAAAAGTTAACGGATAATCATATTCATTAAGGATAAATTAGGAAATCTTAAATAAAAATTAAAATCTGATCAATCTGAGCCATTCATTTGATTAAAAAATTTGACAGCAATTTTTTCTACCCATTATAGGCCTAACTCTCTTGGCCTCTTATTAGTGTAGTAGATATGATAATAAATAATAAAGGAATAAGGTTCAAATTGGCCACTGAACGTAACCTGAAAATGCAATTAGGCCACTGAACGAAAAAAATGTGCAATTAGGTCACTGAACACTCCAAATGTATGTAATTTCACCTGATAGCAGGTTACCGTTAATTTTAGCAGGTTACCTGCTTACGTGGCAGCTGAGTTGGCATTTTTAATAATTTTTAATAAAGTTTAATAATAAAGTTTTTTTTTTAAAAAAAATAGTTAAAACAAATTTAATTTTTTTTAAAATTTTTTTATTTATTTTTTTCAATTTTTTATAAAAAATTTATTATTAAAAATTATTTAAAAATTATTAAAAATGCCAACTAAGCTGCCACGTAAGCAGGTAACCTGCTAAAATTGATGGTAACCTACTATCCGGTGAAATTGCATACATTTGGAGTGTTCAGTGGCCTAATTACACCTTTTTGGGTGTTCAATGGTCTAATTGCATCTTTTTTTCGTTCAGTGGCCTAATTACATTTTCAGGTAACGTTTAGTGGCCAATTTGAACCTTATTCCAATATTAAATTATCTTCATCATGTGAATTCTTACAAAATATTTACATTAAAAATTTAAGTGAGAAATTAAAAATATTAGGAGTAAAATTTGGTACTCCAACTACTTTAGTAAATTGGTATACAAAGGCAGGATCAAAATCTTGGTAAAACTGTTTTAGAGTTAATCATCATTTTGTTCCCTCAGCTCAATTGTTTTCTAACTGTCGATATAGTTTTAAGTTTTCAATTTTAATCAATTTGATCGTCAAATTGTTTAAAATTTCATCAATTAAACCCATTTAGAGATCAAAATGGTGATTTCTATATTTTAAAAATTTCGTCAATTTGATCCCTAAAAGAGTTTAATTGGCAAAATTTTAAACAATTTAATGATCAAATTTGTTGAAATTGAAAACTATGAACTACATTGATAGTTGAGAAACAATTAAGAGCATCTCCATCTATTGAGTTTTTGTACAATTTTTAAAGAGACCGTGTAGGAGAGAGACAAAAATGGGAGAGAAAAAGAAAAAGACAAAAAAAGCTTTTGCCAATTAAAAAAAAAAAAAAAAAAAAAAACAACGGTTCAGTCAGAGTGGCCGCGAGAGAAATGCGCGTCCGCTGGGGAGCGAAGTGCGATCCTAACACGCGAGATGTGCCTCTTTTTTTTTTTTTTTTCTTCTCTTGCAAAATCCATGTATTTACAGGAGAAAATTTTCTTCAAAAACAAAGCTTCCCATTAGCTTTCTTCTTGTAAAGTTAATTTTTTCCTGTAAAAAAAACCAACAAAAATCACAAATATGGATGCCTAAGGGGATGTTTGGATGGATGGAAAAGTTTTTCCATGAAAAATATGTCTTAAAAATGGAGGAAAATGTTATGTTGTTTGGTGTTTGGTTCATTGAATTCATTTTTAATTCGAAAAGGAATTCTTCAAATTGAGGAAAACAAAATCCTTAGTTGGACCAAGGATTTTGTTTTCCATGAAAGATGGGAAAAAAAAGTGATATGGTTCGACTATTTTACCCTTCTTTTCTTTCTTAATTATATTACTCTTATTAATTTGTAGGGGCATATAGGTCTTTATACTTGACAGGGAATATAACCCCGCGGCTTCGACTCCCATATACGTCCGTACTCTCGTTTTGTGGTCGGGTCATGATCAAACGGTTCAAGTCATGGTCAAAGTCAATGGGTCACGTGCCTATATAAAGGGCTTTAGCCCTTCATTTTTTTTTTTTTGGGGGGGGGGGGGGGGGGAGGGGGGCTCTCCAATATGTACTATGCAACACACAAGAACAATGAATAAAAGATCAACTTTGAGCTAATATTCTATTATGTCTACTCTTGATTCAGGTCAAACAGTTCGGGTTATGATCAAAGTCTGCGGGTCAAAGTCAGTGGGCCACGTACCTATATAAAGGGCTTTAGCCCTTCATTTTGGGGGCATCTTTTTGCTCTCCATTTCTCTCTCTCTCTCTCTCTCTCTCTCTCTCTCTCTCTCTCTCTAGAATATGTACTATACAACACACAAGAACAATGAATAAAAGAGTCTTTGATCCTCCCAAATGCTCTGTCGGGTCAGGGTGTGGGGGACCCTTAGGGTTGGGGTTCAGCCTTTTAGAAGAATAAAAAGTCTTAGAGTTAATATTTTACTATGGTTCTGTTTGGCAAACCTAGCTGAAAAGCTATAAGCTAGGAGCTGAAAGCTGAAAAGCTATAAGCTCGGAGCTGAAAACTGAAGAGCGGTTAAGCTAGCTGTTATGATTGAAAGTGTTTGGTAAAATAAGCTGATGAATGTAAAAAGACTAAAAAGGACATCTTCATAAAATTTAAATTAGTTTGTTTATATATTAAAATTTAACATTTTGAAATAAAACTATTAGCATAATCCTGATCTAGCATCTCATAATGAAGTAGCAATATTGTTGCAAATCTCATAATAATAATAATAATAATAATAATAATAATAATAATAATAATAATAATAATAATAATAATAATAATAATAATAATAATAATAATAATAATATTTGCGGTGAAAGTTGCGGATAAAAGAAAAGAGAAAAGTATTTTAATTGGGAAGGGTAAATTATATCATTTCTTTAAAATAATAAGGATAAAGATGGAAACAAAGTTAGGAAGCTAAGAGCTTATTTTGAAACGCTACCTAATGTAGCGTTCCAAAATAAGCTCTTATTTTAAGCTATGGGGCTTATTTTGGGAACATTACCAAACAGAGCTTATAGCTTATTAATAGCTTAAAATAAGTTATACGCTCCTAAATAAGCTCTGCCAAACAGAACCTATATCTACGCTTGATTCATACATACGATATACACTCCATGTACATTGGGTAATAAAC